TCGGCTAACAAAGCACCAAGGATCAGGTGGGCGCGTCTGTCCGACCAGGTCACGTGGTCAGACCAACTTTTGACCAACTGCAATCCAAAAGCGCTGGGTTCATTCTCTTTATCAGGAAATGACACAGAAATAGAGGAATCGGAGGGCGGTGAGCAGCTAGGGCGCTGGCAAAGACTTTTCGATATGTAAGTCCAAGCTTCCCAGCCACCCATTGTAGAGCCCTGTTGGCAAAGAATGCGACTCAAGTTTGCCCAGAGTAAGCCAATGCGATCAGATCCTGGTTGTGATACAGTCATATGCGCAAAATCGAGGCAGAAAGGAAATCAAAAAAGTAGAAAGGAGTAAGATAGTAAGAATTGAGTAAGAGAATGGATAAAATATACATACGTAGCTCCTGTGACATCCGCTGATCTCTAAAGAGCGCTCCAGTCGCATCGTCGATCACGCGGGCTACTGCCCGATATTCTGAGTCACCAGGAAGCTCATTTGTAAGGCATAATTCGTTAAGCCTACGCTTAATATTTTTGATATGAAGATTTGAAGATTCACGAACTCCAGCAAGTAGATCAGTTGGGATGCGGTAAAATGAGGAAGGCGTGATCATATAGGCAATTTCAAGTTGGCGGCTTATAGTTCCTGGTAGTTTGATCTCAGAAGGCAGCTTAGATGACAGCATATGAAGACGTTGAGCTGTTTGCAACTTACCGATTTTGCCTAAAGAATGGGAAAAAGAACAAAAGCTACACTTGAAGACAAAGAGAAAATCAGATCGATCTAATCTATTCAATTCTAATGATTAAAAAAAGCTTTTTTAATCAAGTATTTTTGTACATAACCAAAATTTCTGAAGTAAAAATTAAGTTGATTTACAGGCAAACACATCCTTATAAGTAAAGCTATATATATATATATATATATATACAATAAAAAGAATATTGAATAGCATGAAAGTAGTCTCAGAATGCAGTCCAAAAGTGATCAATATTAAAATTAAATCAGAATAACATTGATGTTTGAATCTTATGGTATGCGAGTAAGCTAGGAAGGAAATTTAAGTAAAATAGGCTCGTTGGAATTGTGCTAACAAATAATGTAAGCTTCAATGGTTACATCGAAGGTGTCGTCGCAGTCTCCTTTCGTTGTATAGTGGTTGTTTGACCTTTTTTTCGCAACATGGTCATATTGGTAGGAAGACCTGAACCGAATTCTCAAGTCATGATACAAATATATAATACGATGGTTTTACGTAGTTTTCCACAATTAATGAGGATCTAGAGCAGTATAATAGCATGTAAAAAGATTATTTGACTTTACAAACCATCAGCAAGTCAACTTCAATGTAATAACGAAAGTAAAGGAAGAGTGGCCAAAAAATTAAGGTCCGATGGTTTGAAATATTGAATCAGAGAACAAAGTGTAGCAAGGTGTTTAAAACAAGAGGTCTTAGCAAAAATTGGCAACACAAAAAGAAGCATAAATAAAAAAGACTTGCTCGACGTGCGTGTTAATATTTGCAATTGGCCGGTGATCATGAATCCTAATTAAGTTCCATAACAGAGAGAATGGCCTGGCCCAGGCCACAATTCAAAATCCAAACTATTCTTCAAGGCGAATGCTTCCCAACTGCTTAAGTGGGAATGCGCTATTCATTTCAAAACTGTAAATTCTTTCCGCAAAAGTTCCAACGAGGAAACACAATATAGGGAAGGGTGCTTAGCATAAAGCGTATGCAAAGCGCCATAACTTAAGAAATTTATTGGGTTGACATTTTTAGTAACGATAAGGGTTGTTCCGTCATAAAAAGCGGAGGGCGAGACCTAAGCATTAGCTTAGATCACACAATTTTGCCATAAATGTGAAGTTTTCAGCTAAAATACAAAAGCCAGCATTTTAACACTTTGTAGATGCCAATTGCATAAGAAAAGGTTGATACAAAATAGGAAAATTTATGAAAGAAAAGTTAAGTAATAATATATGAAGCATAGTCAAATAAATAAAGTAGCGCTTCGCAATTAAATTCGGTCGATCTTACATAGGCGAGTAATCTCAGAAGAAATCATCAGCTCAATCTCAACTGGACGCATACCAGAGAATCGACTCACAAACGCCTAGAATTAAGAGAAAAGGAGACACAACAATTAATGATAATACAGAAATAGGATAATGTGATTCGATAAGGTAACTCACATCTTCAATCCAAGCCGTCGAAAAACTCGAACCGGAAGAGGTTAAAGTGCTTCGCAGCCAATCAGAAGCCAGCACAAAAAGAGAAAGGTCCAATTCGGGATCCGAAATAACTGAATATGAGGAATTAGAATATATTAATTAAATATATCAAGGAAGATTAAGATAAATATTAGACAATCATCACCTTTAACCTTTTAGCTAAATAATAATGATCAATTATGCATTATAAAAAATTCCACGATCAAATATACGTACACATTAATGCTTTTACACTTAATGAAAAGACATTGAACAGAATGCATTATTCTGACCTCGGATTAGGCAACAAGTGTTCTGCTAATGGACATGTGTAATTCCCTCATTAGATGTTATATTATGAGTCTAGCGACAATTAAGCAATGATCTTGTCAGATTGTCAATGAGGAGCCAGAAATAGCATTGAAGCACTATTAATAAATAACAATTCTAATAGAAAAGGTAGCGATATGGATATACATCCTGAGTAAATGCCTTCTCTTTTTAAGCACAGGCATTCATACCTATATTGTGTTAAAATAAGCAAACATAGCCTCCTGATTTACATAAACCATTTAGGCAAATTGATTATTGTTAAATGGAACATCCATATGTACGTTAGAAAGTAGTTTAATTGATACATGGAATTAAAGTAACATGAATAAAATATTAAACTTCCGATGTTGTCTTCGTGAAGATTGGCCTTTCTAATCAAAGTTAACTAAGGCAAATCAACGTTACATCCAAAAAAAGACACTTGAATGTTTGGCCTGAACTCAGGGATAAGGCGACATTAATATAGCAAAGCTAGATATTAAATAGTTGATCAAAAATAATATAAATATTTGTGGAAGTATAGAAATATAATACTAGCAGATTATAATATAGCTACTGGTAGCTATATGCATGTCGGAATGTAAGCAGGCTTGGTTAAACACTGTTTTCGCAGCTTGCTCATGAATAGGAATGAATTCTGGAAAGATTGTAGTTAGATAAATCATATAGCATAAGCAAAAGAATTCTTATGGGCTAAAAACAGAAAGTATAGTCCTGAGTTGCCCTCCAAAAAAATGTTGGAAATGAGAAAATAGAGAAACCTTTTTCATTAGAAACATCTTATATGGATCCAGTATAGTCCTCGATCAATAAACTGGAATGAAAATTCACCTGGATAATAGTCATTTTTAGTCAGGGATACAGAGAAATTCCCTCCAACGATAGGTAAAATCAAAATTAAAAAGATTATGAAGGGAGTCAAAATGTTCATTTTGAAAATAAGTAGGTATATCATGATTTAAGCTTTAAAAATTCAAAGAAAAAATAAAGCGATTCTTTGAAGTCCTCGTGCTTATAATACAGGCTATAAGAAGCATAAAGCATAAGATGAAGAAAAGTTTATGCGGCCATCAAATTGTATAAAATAAATATTGGATAGTCATTATTTTTAAATCTATTCGGTAGATAAAATTCAACTCTTTAGGCTGTTGAATTGTTATCTTTTACTTATGTTATATTTGCTCTCTCTGACGAGAAAGAGGATTAAGATTGAGCATTTTATAATTCGGATGAAAAATCTAAATAAAAACAAACTCGATCTTTTTATATAAACAAATAACAATAAGTATGTTTTCCAGACTTGATCAAAAAGGAAAAAAAAAGAATTTTAAAGTAAAAAGAAATTTGTCAGATATAATAAAACTAAACTTAAAATTTGAGGTAGAATAAAGTTTAGAGGATTTTAGTAATCAAAGTAGGCCAAGAATTAATCATTTTTAGATACCCATACAGAAAAAGCTATTACTTAAATTAAAGACACGTAGTAGGAGACATAAAATAAATTTTGGGCAATTACTAATATCTACAAGCATGAGAATCAGAGTTTAGGCATTCTGCTTCTTGAGGCAGTAGCGTAGATTCTTCTAGTCATGAGAAATAGGGCCATGAGTAAAACGCACACTGGAACTGGAACCGAGTGAAATGGGGGGACCATGAAGGGTCCGAGACAGATTAGCCGATCGAAAGAGACGGGGACAGGGTTAATAGCAGATGTGATGAGGCCACATTTGCCCAAAAGGGGCACACATTTTGACTAATGGAATGTAAACAAGTTAGAAGTTGTGATAAGGTGGGAGCTGGATAAGAGGGTAGGGTGAAGATAGATTGGCCAGGAAAGAAAGGGGATTGCTAGTTAACCGTTTCGGCAGAACGTTGGTGAAGGGATTAACTTATTTTGTCTCCGACACGTTAGTAGCTTAGTGAAAATGGCAGACTCGCTTATGATGCCGACTACGATGCTGGCGAAACGTCTGAGAAGATATCAAGTCCACGGTCTGATACTAGGAATTATAACTAATATAAAAGAGGGCTTGGGACAAGGTGCGTTCAACCAAGTCGCAGAGGAAAGTCAACCCACTTTTAAAAATTGGAAGGAGACCGATGGGCTACACCATTTTGGTTTTCATATCTTTGGTTAAACACTGTTTTCGCAGCTTGGTCAAATTTTCAGAGACCTAAATGATCGCACTTTCTTAGTAGTCCCCTGTCATGCTATTCATGATAAGTTCCAGCTTCGGGCCGTGGCCTTGGTACATTCCTAGGTGCTTCACCGGCAATGTTAGTGAACCTTGCCAATCGTAGCACTAAGCTAAAACGCGTTCGAGCCAAGTGAAGTTTATCCTTTGATCAACTGATTGCTTCTATACTCACCTATCTTATAACCTCGCATCCTCCCCTTAATACCACAACTTGCTTATGTTAGCCGTCGAGATGTGACCTTTTGAGCAGAGTCGGCGAGGCATGTACAAACTCAGTGGTGATCCCCATCGTTGTTTTAGGAATTTTGATCAAATTTTACTCTTTATGTTTGCCATCTGTATTATCAAGGCCAGAAAAGCGCATCAATCATGCGCTGTAAGATCTATTTCTTATATTATTGTTTCAATTATTTTACTCTATGATTGCCACAATATCTGAACTGCTCAGGACGTTATTTTCCACACTCTGTCTCAAGCCTTGAATTGCTAGTATATCGTTGCAGTTTGCCTTATCACTCTTCGGCATACGCACCAGGTAAATATCATGATCAAGCTATTACTTTACGAACCAGATCCATTACCTAAGCCATGCATTGTGAGCTCTGGTTTCGGCAGCACCCCTCGAGTCACTATTCGTAATATCAAGTTTATGACTATACTGTGCCCCAGTCATTGTATTTACAACCAATGTTGCAGCCGTTTACTTGCTTTAATTAGGCTTACTGCAATTCCTTTTCTTCACATTCAAAATATCTTCTTTGCCGAGCATGATATTCCCTGATCTCCCCCGAATCCGCTTTCTCTCAGTCTCCTGTTCATTATATTTCTCTCTATAATGGCCTACATCAATTACATCTATGGCCTTTAGAACAATATGATTTCTCTTATTTCGGTTTCCATTATATCTCATGTCCCATCTGTGCAATGAGTTCTGCTATTTTAAATATTTCCATATAGATGCACCTGCAGTCTCTAATGTATCTTGATTTAAAGGCAGATTTTTTTTCCTATGTTTTACTAATAAACTTCTATTCACAGTTACGGCATGTTATGCAACAAACTCCCGAGGTTGTCAACATTGTCACATTGCGTATTCAAGCTAGTGAAGAGTGTAGCATTTCCCTTCATGATAACCTCAACATTCCAATTTCTCACTAAAGGTGGCAATTCTTGAGTTAGTTCACTTCTGATCGTCCTGAGTCTCGATTTTATTTTCATGATATCTATGTTGAAATCTGGTAATTAGGAACCCAATATTTCTTTGTAAGATTTCTATGGGATATCTGTTACTAAGAAAAAACCACATCAGTGTGTAATGAGAGTGCAAATTCCAGCATGCGATCTCCTGCTGAATAATTTCCTATTGAATATTCCTTTGGAGCGAACTACCCCAACATCTAGGAAAGATAGTCGCACATTCTCCAACATCTCCATTGTAAATTTAATTCCTCTATCAAATCGGTTCATATAGTTGATGACATCTAATTTTTTGGCCATGTGACCAGTGTGCAAGGTAGGCATACAGGTATCGCAGGAGCACTCGTGGCTGCAGCTTTGAGTTTTAAAGTTTCTTCTGTAATTTGTCCATATAAAGATTTGCCAAAAGAGGTAAAGTGGAGATCCCATAGGTAGTCCAAATATTTGCTTATACATATTGAAGTTGAATTTCAGATTGACCAGTTACCTTTCCATATCCGCTTGGACTCAAGGATATCCTGCTTTCGTTCCAAGACCTCCAGCAAGGACGCCACTGCATTCTCGCCTAATGGTTGTTTACATGGATTTTAAATCAAAACATAACAATCATTATGCTCCTTCCTGTCAAATGTATTGGATCCTTTTAAAAAATTAATGAGTTCTTCACAATGTTTGATAATCTATCGTTAACTACTTGAGCTCTAAGTAAATGAATTTAGCCAGCTCGTGTATCGCTCCAATTATTGACTATTAACCTTAGTTGTTCGCTCGCTTGGGTAGGTTGTAGGCTGTCGGCTGTCTTACTTTCTTTTAAACTAAATTCCATTATCCACCCGTCGATTTCTCAGTTTATGTGCATTCATTTAGAATATATTTTGGTATCCCGGCGATTATCATGGTTAGTTATTTTACTCAGTATTTGATAGGTGCGTCGGTCGCCCAGTATGCCTTCCATTGTCTGCGTGTTTTGTTTTCTCTCCATTGCCTTCTTATCCGCTTAAAGGAATATGTGTAATATTTTTCGTATATTAGTAAAGTTTCGGTATTACCAGTAAATCAGTTATATGAGATGTAATCCCCATATTTTGTTTAGGGTGATTTAGGACTGGTAGTAGAATTTTACCACAATGATATGAGTAGAGCTGACGTTTGTAATGAATTTCACAGCCTTGCTTTCCCAAAAGTTGTTCTTATCCAGGATGGAATGCAATTTCGACCTCGCATAGGTCTTATCAACACCCCCAACGGGAGTCGAACCGTGACAGTGCGACATGTGATCTTGACACGTTAAACACTATGCCATGAGTGCCCTTGAAGGAAAAGCAAGACTATGTGAAATTAAATGGTAACGTCAGCGCAATTCATATAATTGTGAGAAAATTCTACTACCAGTCCTCCATCAACTTGAACGAAATAGGGTGAATACATCTCATATTACTGATTTACTAGTAGACTCGAAACTCTATTTAAATACGATAAATAAGTAACGTAGTCGATTTTTATAGCTAAAATACGTCTGTCTCATCGGCAATTCCTCCAAACAGTGTAGTATGGGTGAAGGCCTGGCCTTCCTCTACATTCACATTTGCCATGTGACCCATGGGCACTCTTGGCAATGTGACCGAGTGGTTAACGCGTCAAAAATCATATGCTGCACTGCCACGGTTCGGCTCCCGCTGAGGGTTTTAAGACCTATGCGATGTCGAAACTGCAGTTCACCCTGGATGAGAACAACTTTGGGGAAAGCAAGGCTGTGAAATTCATTGGAAACGTCAGCTCTACTCATATCATTGTGGTAAATTGTACTACCAGTCTATCATCACCTTAAACGAAATATGATGAATAAATAGCATATTCCCTAATTAATTTGTAGAGCGGTCAAATGACATGATTGATTGAAATTAGACCAAGATGCGAAGATGAGATCAAACTACTTCTATAGAAGAAAAGGAGACCGTGATCATATTAAAGGCCACACCATTTTAGTCTCC